GCGTTTGTTGGAGAGAAATTKGTCCAAGAAGCTAAAAGATCAACAATATGCTACAAACAACATGACAAAGGCTGACATGCATAAAAGGGCTTGGACCCCGGTCATAACTGCTTTGCAGTTCTAGTTTTTATTTGTTTACGTTGTGTATTCTGCACTTCATCACTACCAAGTCAAATTCCTTGTATAAAAATATTTGGTCAATAAACAGGATTCTGATTCTATTGAATGTTGAGTATCAGGCAGCAGAATTATTTTATGTAAATAATCAATCAAGTTGCACAAAATACTTATTTTTAAATGTAACATAAAATTGGTAAAAARGAGCAAAAATGTGAGACTGCAATCCTAACCATTGTGTTTATTGTAAACAGGCGCTTGATGAATTGTTCCGACTGACTGGTGAGGAGTTTCAGGCTGATAAGTTTACTCTGAAAATCATTTCTGACACACATGTGTCCCATCCCACAGGTCGTTTGTTCAGACTGAGCTTACTGAACCATTTTAACTGTTGAACAACTGAAAATCAACTTTCTAACCTGCCGCCACTTTCTTGTAGAATCCATCTTTTTTTTTTGCGCAGGAAGACATCCACCGAGGTCAAGTTCTCTCTGATCTATTCTTAACCCATCACAAGCATCCAAGTGCTCCTATGCTTTTATAGACAGAAAAGGCTTCAAAGACAACCAAGTAATGATCTGGCCCCCTTCGCTCACCTGACCTAAATCATTTCGAGAACTTGTGGACTCGTCCCAAATGCTAGAATTACTGAGGAACATTTGGGAGGCTGGGGTTAATAATTCAGTGAAAGCTGATCACAAACAGATCATGAAAGTGGGCGGATTCCTTGCTAGCATGACTGTTAGTCATGAAATGTTCCCGTAAAGCCGAAAAACAAAAGTTTTCTTTTTGACGTTTTATTTGTGCTGTTTAGGTTTTTAACTGGAGTGCAMGAAAAGGGGAGAATATAAATATGTTTGCAGTTCTTATTCTTTCACACTTTTATAAAAATCTATCAAAAATCAAATTAATTTTTTCCTGTTTAGTTTGTGATGTTTTTTTAAGTAGTAAAAAAATGGTCTGTAAAAAGAAAACACTTTAGCATCACAAGTATGATTCAGATATTTTGCAAACCGTCTGTTTTTTTGGAAAACGAAGCATGGATGTGTGACTTTCTTGTAACGTTAAGAGCCTTGTACATTTTTGTTTGTCAGTTTTCATTTTACAACCAAAACTTCCTTTATAGAAGCGCTAGTTTTGAGCAGACTTTTTAGCAGCCTCACGTGTTTCTACAGGAGCTGACAATATCAAGAAATATTGGAGTCGTTACTACCAGGGGTCACAGGGTGTAATCTTCATACTGGATAGCGCCTCGTCGGACGAGGACCTGGAGGCGGCACGGAATGAGCTCCACTCGGCTCTGCAGCACCCACAGCTCTGCACACTGCCCTTCCTTATTCTTGCCAATCACCAGGACAAGCCAGCTGCAAGAACCCCCGGTCAGGTAATCGAAGCTGTTTACAGTGTTCCCCTTTTTTTTATTTCTTCCTGTAAGTTCAGTTTGTCCTCTACACATAAACACTGTCCCTCAAATCATTAGAAAAAGAACATGTTTCACATATTATTTGCTGAAAATGTTTTTGTTTGATTTACATTTACACACATGGATAAAAGTTTTCATTTTCACACAGCAGTAGATACTTTTACACAATAGATGCTTATTTTGTTGCACAACGTGTTCAACATAATGACTTAGTCTTAACTTAAAAAAAAAAACATTTTATTGGTTTACAGTGAACGTGAATGCATGACCTCGCAAACAAAGTTTTGATTTGTTGGACACAACTTTGGTTGAGTCTTCCAAAGTAAGTTGTTCCCCAGCGGGGAGCCATAATTAGAACCATCGAAACTGTAGAACACTTTTGGGGAGGCAGGAGAAAACCTCATCTGGAATTGGGAAACCAGTGCCTGCACCTGCAGTCAAGCCTTGAACAAGACTTGGCATCCAAGATCTTTACGAGTTGCCTCTACAAAAGGATTAGAAGAGACTCAGTCTGTGGAGGCAGAATAGACAGAGCTGCTGCATGTGGCAGAACTAGAGAAGGTTTGGTGTCGATTCAGATCTTTAAGAAGTGTTTCTAAAGATGAAAATACCAGTTCATATGATAATACAGGTCCTTCTCAAAAAAATAGCATATTGTGATAAAGTTCATTATTTTCTGTAATGTACTGATAAACATTAAACTTACATATATTTTAGATTCATTGCACACCAACTGAAGTAGTTCAAGCCTTTTATTGTTTTAATATTGATGATTTTGGCAAAAAGTAAACAACAACAACAACAAC